CACCGCGAAGTTTCTAGCCGCCTTTGCTCGTTTCGTCGCTGGACGAGGTTGTCCGCAGCATATCCATTCAGATAATGGGAAAACTTTCGTGGGAGCATTAACTGTCCTTTCTCGGGACTTTCTTGAGGCGTTCCAGGGCTCGGTGACTGATGCATATATCCATCAGCGGGTTTCATGGAGTTTCATCCCGCCAGGAGCTCCACACAAGGGGGCTTAAAGAGGCCGGCTTCCCCAGCGTAAAGAGTTTTAAAACGCTTTTCTACAAAGCCACGTCGACCCGGAAATATACACTTGAAGATCTTTCGACGCTTCTCGCGAAGATTGAAGCATGCCTTAATTCCAGGCCGCTCTCACCCATGTCCGAAAATCCGACGGAGTTGCTGGCCCTTACTCCCGGGCACTTCCTTATTAAAGCACCGTTAATGACGACAGCAGAGCCCGAAATAAAGGAGAACCTCCAGTCGATCATTAATCGGTGGCAGAATTTGAAGGCCCTCAACCACCAGTTCTGCCAGAGGTGGAAAGATGAGTATCTCAAAGAACTCCACAAGCGCAACAAGTGGCAGACAGCGATGCCCAATCTTCAGGTCGGCGATATGGTTATCGTCAAGGAAGATAACCTGTCCTCTAATGACTGGCGACTCGGAAGAGTACAGTCCGTGTATCCAGGCGCCGACAAGAGGGTCCGGGTGGTAGACATTCTCACGGCCCGCGGTGTCCTCAAACGCCCGGTCGCAAAGGTCGTTCTCCTTCCAGTAGAACCCCCTCATCCCGCACAACTGTAACGGAAGGCGTTCCCATTTATAATGCCTTTTCGTGTCTACTATTCCATCCACGTTCTGTTGTTTTGTTTTTTTTTTTGGTTCGCATCCAAAACGCCCTCGTCTTTTTGTTCGTCCTGTTATCTGTTCCTAGCACGTTACTAATGCGTCTCCGATTCTTCTTTTCCATACCAGTTATTTCGCATCCAGATCCAGATGGCTCCACGATCCCGTGACAACCGCACCTCAGGGAGCCAACTGTCCCGAGGAACACCCGCTTACCGCTGCCGCGTCTGCTCCGGAAGCCATCCGCTACGGGACTGCCGCAGTTTCCTCAAGCTGACCGTGGCGAAAAGGCTCCGAGCCGTACTGGTCAACAAGTACTGTCGGAACTGCCGGGCTCACCAGCAGGCTTGCCGGTGAAAGGTGTGCCACAAAAACCACCACACGTTGCTCCACATGCGACCGTTCCGTCTCCAGCTCCGGTGTCCCAAACCAGTCGCCGCCCCCGGCTCCCAGCAAGCCGTCCCGTCGTGTGGAATCCTGCTACATCGGTCAACACCCTGCTCCAGCACCGAAGCATAAATTTCCTCCCGACGGTCCAGGTGATCTTGGATACGGGCGCCAAAACCCTCAAGACAACGGCGCTCATCGACCCATGCACGCCGGTGAGCTGCATTGATGCTTCCTTGGCCGCCGACATTAAATTGCCCAGCACACGCATCGGATCGGAGAAGGTCCGCGCCAAAACCGGCGAGGTCCAATTGGACGTGGTCCTCAAGATTAAACCCCGCTTACGCGTCCGCACGCCGCTGCGACCCTTGAGCGAGACGACTCGTGCCAAGTTCGACGACTTTCGCCTCGCCAATGACAACTTTCATCGCCCGGCCACAATCTCTCTCGTATTGGGAGCTGATGTTTATCAGAAGGTGACCCAGCCCGGGTTCCTTGCGCGAGGAGACGGCCTTCCAGTGGCCCAGAGCACCGTTTTCGGATGGATTGTGTCCGGGGCTTGTACGCAGCCATAGGACGGGACGTTGCAGTTCTGAAAGGGGGGGAGGATGTTTAGGGCAGCAGCGCTGTTAATGCTATTAACATCGCGCCGTTAGCTCGCGCGCTCTCCCGTGCCCTTCGCTCTCGCGCTGCGTGAATGCGATCCACGGCTCTCCATCACGGGCGCTAGCCGCCGGCCGAGCTGTGCGATTCAGTATCGTTTCCACCCCCGCCAAACATACGTATATCTGTCACGATCGAACAATATACCTTCGATAAATTAAAACATCATCTGAAAACTATTTATTGGGAATCATACTCTTGGGAAACCGAAGCCGACCCGACCACATCCACCCTACTACAAACAATGACTTTTGGCTGAAAACGTAAGTAAGTAAGGCAAAGCCTGCCTGAAAATGTTTACACAAATTTAGGTTTCAAAATGATGTATTATCTGCTGATTAATCAACATTCCAACGGCTGATCTTTTCCTAAAACATTTATTCTTAGCATCTTATTCTTCTATTTTAAATTAAACAATTCCGAACAAAACTTTGTTATTAGTATGTTCATCAGTTCAGCTGTTTAAAATATTTTCAAAATTCCGTCTGTCATATAACCTTAATGAAATGAAATTAAAAGCCTGTTTACAGTACGGCTGAGTTATTGAATTATTGCGTTTTGGGCAAAACTCAGTTTTTTTACAAAGGTTTAGCATAGACGCCTAGTGGTGGCAAAAAGTTGAGTTATGGTTGCGTTTCAGTTGCGTTTGTTCGATTCTACGATTATTTCAAGCCTGTTCGCCTATCGTGTGAACTATCTAGAAACAACAACAAAAATTTTTACATAGAAATATAATGGAAAATAAAAATTCGCATACTTTACTTAAAAATAATACTTATAGCCAATTTTATCCTTTGAAGCGAGATTTTTGTAGACCTATTTGCCTTTACAGGAACTTCTAGACTTCTGGAAAAAAAAAATTATGTTTTTTTTACCACGAAAACTCTCACATACATGAATGAAAATCATTACAAATAAATGAATTTGAATAATTGAATTTGTTATTCATTGAGAATTCATGAAATGTAGCCCCAAATCTTTTCTGTCCAACAATTAATAATTTGGTTGATATGGCAAAACTCATAAAGGACTGTCTCCAGCACAGCGGAAAATTGCGGCAAGGAATTTGCTAGTTATTCCGTGAGGGTGTGGAACTTTGCTAAAACAGGGTTGATGAATCAGCTGTGCTTTGTAAACAGAGGCAACTGTAAAATTCTGCTAAAATTAAAAAAGAAAAAAAAAATGCACTCTGAACATGAAGTGATTGGGTTGGTGGCGGCATATATTGTTGCAAAACAAAAAATAATAATTTGCATCTCTCTTTTTGGTTTTGCAGACAGTTTTTGCCTACATCTTGCACCATTCACTTCAGGAAGAATTGTAAAGTATATATTCCTGAGCTGGGTATCAGCTGTTCTCTCAGTCCATACACGGTCCCGATAGGCAACTATCGATATAAATCTGTGGATTCCGCTCGTGTTTCTGGATACACACTCCAGGAAGACGTAAACGAAACATTCCTGTCAGTTTTTTTTATATGGAGTTTGACAGGAATTTTTCGATTCCGCAGTGCTGGATACTATGCTTAACCACTAACCATACAGTATACAGATGTGCCAGTTCATACAACGAAAGGGGCTCAAGCTGAGTGTTCTGTCCCGGCTCCCAGCGCTTCGGCTCTGTGAGGTTGAGACACTCGGGTCGGGAGCCAGACCATTCGGGTCGGGAGCTGGGCCGTTCGGCATGTATGACTCATGTCGGGAAGCGAAAGAAAGCTGAGAATTGCAAATGTATGTGTGTAAACAGACACGACAAAATTTTGTATCAATTCTTATTTTCCGAAACCGTTTTGAGTTTGTTTTGAGTTTCGTTTCCAGGTTACGTAAATGTGTGTGTGCCATGTATTCACACATACTGTGCTTGTGTGTGGGCTCTACAATTGTTGGCCGCTTGAATTGGTTTTTCGTTTTGTTTTGAGGGCTGATGTGATGTAGCGACCTATTCAGGGCCGGATCAACCCTTAACCGGGCCCTGGGCAACCATCAATCTGGGGCCCTTCTTTATTTTGTATTTTTCTCAGTGGCTATTATATTTTGTATTCATTATTTGGAGTTTTGTTTTTTCAACAAAATTTTTCTGTTATTTCTAGGAGGGCCCTAGGCAACTGCTAATCCGGGCCTGGATTCCCGTCGTCAGACTTCATATTTTGTTGGTGTATTCTGTCGCTCGACTCGACGCGGGCAGAGGCATTTACGAAGCCAGAAGCAGAGGCAAAGGCTAGCCTAAAAGAGAACCGCGCGTCCGTCGCAACATCAGCTTTTCAAAACAAAACGAAAAAATATTTTATGAACCGCTTCGTCAATGCCTCAACCCGCGTCGAGTCGAGCGACAGAATACACCAAGAAAGTATTAAGTCTTACAACGGGAATAGGTCCAGGGCCGGATTAGCAGTTGCCTAGGGCTTCCTAGGGATAAAGAACAATTTTGTTGAAAAAACAAAACTCCAAATAATGAATACAAAATATAATAGCCACTGAGAAAAATACAAAATAAAGGAGGGCCCCAGATTGATGGTTGCCCAGGGCCCGGTTGAGGGTTGATCCGGCCCTGAATAGGTCGCTACATCACATCAGCCCTCAAAACAAAACGAAAAACCAATTCAAGCGGCCAACAATTGTAGAGCCCACACACAAGCACAGTATGTGTGAATACATGGCACACACACATTTACGTAACCTGGAAACGAAACTCAAAACAAACTCAAAACGGTTTCGGAAAATAAGACTTGATACAAAATTTTGTCGTATCTGTTTACACACATACATTTGCAATTCTCAGCTTTCTTTCGCTTCCCGACATGAGTCATACATTCCGAACGGCCCAGCTCCCGACCCGAATGGCCTGGCTCCCGACCCGAGTGTCTCAACCTCACAGAGCCGAAGCGCTGGGAGCCGGGACAGAACACTCAGCGCGCCCCTTTCGTTGTATGAACTGGCACATCTATACACTGTATGGTTAGTGGCTTAACTCAATAACTCGAGTTTGTGCCAGTGTGGACGCCAATTCTGAGTTATTGAGTTAGCTCAACAATCGATAGGTAACTCATGTCAGTGTAATTAGGCTATAACAATTTTTATTAAAACAATCGCATATACACTTTATAAAGTATCGATAAGATAACGAAATTCAAAGAACATCCCAATACTTATTACTATTTGTGTGTTCAATATACATATGGGGAATATTGCAATTATACATATTTTTTAAAAGGGTAATCGGAAAAACTGATACTTTAAAGAAAATGGATGTACCTTCCAAAGTATTACTTGTAACAGCTAACGTTGGTAGTTTGTTTGAAGATGTAAGTAAAAGAAATGGGGGAAAAATGTTTGTTTACATTTTAAAATGTATGTATGTACATTTTTATAAATGTATGCAACAATATTAGAATGCATGAATATTCATAAATTATCGTGTACATACGAAAGTTATTTCAATGATTTCATTATAATGTCTATGCAGCCAGAAGGACTTCTTCAGACATGGCTTCATGAATTTCTTTCCAAGGTGTCGTATATTCAACCAAAATTTTTAGCTTTGCACCTTCAAGAAGTCGGAGGAAAAACTTACGAAAAATCAATGGAACACGTGCAAGAATTTATCAGATGCTTGTGTGATGCCAGTGTAATGGCAACTTATAACTCCATTCATGCATATATGGATGAAGATTTTAAGTCAGCTGAACACTTTACGGTAAGTAAATACAACCAGTCGCACCTGGTATACACTGTATTTCTTTATGGATACATACATATACGTATGTATGTATATCGAATCTTAGGATTTAATATATTTGTTTATATTTAAAAAATGTATGTATGTCAACCATCTCTTTAATGGTAGGTACCCTTAACTGCTAAGTCTTACTGATGGGAAGAGAGTAAAGCATAGTATCCAGCACCGCGGAATCTAAAATTCCTGTCAAACTTCATACAAAAAAAACAAATTTTTCCGTTACGTTTTCCTGGAGTGTGTATCCAGCAACACGAGCGGTATCCACAGATTTATATCGATAGTTGCCTATCGGGACCTTGTGTGGACTGAGAGAACAGCTGATACCCAGCTCAGGAATATATACTTTACAATTCTTCCTGAAGTGAATGGTGCAAGATGTAGGCAAAAACTGTCTGCAAAACCAAAAAGAGAGATGAAAATTATTCTTTTTTGTTTTGCAACAATATATGCCGCCATCAACACAATCACATCATCTTCAGAGTGCATTTTTTTCCTTTTTGAATTTTAGCAGAATTTTACAGTTGGCACGGTTTACAAAACACAGCTGATTCAACCCTGTTTTAGCTATGTTCCACACTCTCACGGAATAACTAGTAAATTTCTGGCAGGAATTTTCCGCGGTGCTGGAGACAGGCCTTAAAGAGAGATTGGTATCCTTATTCCGGCTTGGAAGTGAGTAGAAATTATCAATATGCCTTATGGTTATAGTCAGCTTGAAGCAGTGGCGCGGTGAATCTTTTCAACGCTGGTATAAATCAGCTGTGCGTGTTTGGAAAAAACGTCTTGGTACAAATAGTGACACAGCTCTTTGACAGATTGTACTGTGGAGACGGCTAATCACACTACTTTGTCGTTTTGCCTCCTGCCATCTCTGTCTTAAAATTCGTAAAATTCTTAATTCAAAAAATCAACATTGCAAATTCCCGTTGATAGATAAAACATCGATATCCATAGTTCATAATTCACGAATTTTTCGTTTTGTTTTGGTATCATATAATTCGATTGCCAAAACAATGTCATATTTAACTAAAACATTTCAATTTCCAAAAGACAAGCAGATTTTTGTATCAAGTAAGATTTTTTTTAAAGGTATCGCAAAACAATTTGGGATTGAAACACTATCGTTATCAAGATTCTAAAACCGAATCACACAGATTTGAATTCGGACGCATTTTTCCAAATTATCCTCCTTTGGAAGTAAAAGAATTGCCATATCTGTTTGTCCGTCCGTCCGTCTTGTTGAGCGCCTGGATCTCAGAGATTATAAAAGTTAGGGTAACCAAATTTGGTTTCCAGACTCATGTGATATCACACTGCTACAAGTGTATTTCAAAATTTCGAACCGCCCCCATCCGCCCACAGTACAGTATCTTAGAGAATGACTATATCTACCAGATTTGCCGAATCTGAATCAGATCGGATCATAATTATAGCCAGAATGAAGAAATTCATTTTCAGTTGCTTTCCCCGTCTCCCCCTGCATGAAACACGCTACTGATTCTCTTTCTCGCTCGCACACTCTGCCGCGTTCAGTGCGCGAGCAACCCCTACCGGAGGAGATGTAGAATCTAAATGGTACATGTACAATCTACTTGTTAGATGTAGAATATACATTGTCTATGTATTTGTAGATAACAGATGTGGCAAAAAAATGTTAAATGTAAATTTTTTTTTTTTTAATTCTAAAATTCTAAAAAATCATATGCTCAAAAATGTATATACTGACTGAGTACGGGTATAAGTAGAGTCGCGTCCCCAGAAGCGACTCACACGTTCCTTCTCGTTTTTATTATAAAATGGCTCAAATCATGTTGAAAATATACTCATTTATCACAAAGTCTGAATGTACAAATTTATATTTTACACTTAAATTAATATTGTCTTTTATAGGCCCTTGGAAGTCTCTACTTCGTTCACGAAGACATAGTGTCTTTGAAAATATGGAATTTTATAACTCACAACTGGGAAGAAAAAATTCAAGAAGTTAAAGATAAACGCATATATTGCGGTAATATTGAAGCTATTGCAACAAAGGAAAAGTCTAAATTTCCGCAGAACTATTTTCCGGAAGTAAGTATTTATATATTTTGCGTACCTAAATGTTCGTAACTCTTAGTCTTTAGTCTCCTAGAAGTAACTCTCACTCTGAACACTCGTACAGGAAAAATCTTTGGTCCTATCCCCTACAGTTCGTGGGCTACATGTATTCGTCGTTTTTGTTTTTTTCGTCGAAAACTACGGTGATATATATGAAATATTTATTAAGTATAGGATTTTACTATTCAGTTGTGAAACTATGAGGGTAAAGGTGCGACCATATATCGAAAAATTCATGTCAAACTTCATCTAAAAAAAACTGTGGCAGGAGTGACTTGAGTATCCAGAAACATAATAGCCATATGATATTAGACTTTGCTAACTGACTAGCTGGAAAAATAAAGATGGCCTTATAGGAAATGCCTGCAGTCCGAGCTAGAGCTATATATGCCTCAAGCTCGCGGTCCAGTTGAGCTAGGAGCAGCGCTGCGGCAGAATTTATCGAATTTTACTTTGTGGATAAAATTTTGCTGTCTAAGTCTAAGTCTAATGCCATATGGCTATAAGCGGAATCCACAGATTTACATCGATAGTTGCCTATCGAGAGCGTGTGTGGATTGAGAGAACAGCTGATACACAGATCAGGAATATATGGCTTACAATTATTCCTGACGTGAATGGTGCAAGATGGAGGTAAAAACTGTGAGAAAAACCAAAAAAAGAGATGAAACTTCGACGTTCGAATAATACTGTGCGACATTGTAAAACGCAAACTTTTTTCGGTTTTTCAAACTGCAACCAATTCTGCGCCGGAAGGAAAAGTTAACGGCTTTTTATAAAACAAAACGAATCTTAATTGCAAAATGAAAAAAAATAAATAACTGATTGATGCATTGACATGGATTTGACACCATTAACAGGGCAATTGGCGTGTGCTCTTTTTATAAACAATTTTTTTTCAACCAACCTTAAAACCAACCATAAAAATGGTCTGGGCAACAGATTAGTGGATTATTCCGAATAGCTGTGGGAGCCCGATTTGGTTATCGATAAGTCTCTGTTAAACATAACAGAGACCTTTTTGTATGAGCTGGTACTAACGCGTGGGTATAACAGTAGTAAATTTTGCGCACAACAGTACAGGAGGAAATAAACCTTACTTGAGCGAATGTCAGAGCGCCTTGAAATGAAAAGTTTGACTTTTGGCTGAAAACTTAAAACGCAAAAACGAAAGCCGGAGCATGCCTGTATATGTTTCGTTAGACTCCAGAAAATATGTTTTGCATTCACAGAAACTAGAAAATCTTGAAAACAATACCGTTAGATATGCTAGGTTGATACTTATGAACCCCATACTCCTAGTTTGAACTTTGCGTTTTGATCAAAAAGGTGTATGTATGCGTTCTTGAGAATACATTACATTCTTATTAAAGTTGAAAAATGCCTCTCAAAAGGATATTTATCTAAAAAACTAAAAAAAAGCTCGCCAGGAATTGTTTTTAATCCTAAAAGATCGCCATTTTGCCATGTCCAGATAAGTCCCTGTGTCGAGATCTTTAAGGGAATGTCAAATGCATAATAAAAACTGCAAATCCGTCAACGAGAGAAACATGTCGAGCTTGAAACATAGATTTAGATTTGAGCTTTGTTGTTTTCTTCGACTCTCTTAAAAAAACGAAACTACCATAGCTGATCTAAAGAGAGGATTGTTAAAACAACAGTTTAAGAAAAACAACAGATTTTAAGAATTTCTAACACACCCCCAGCGACAAAAAAGCCGAAGTTTGAAATTTCATGCATCTGTGACATCTCTAGTCGCTGGTTTTCGGAAATATTAATCGATTAATTGTTAACCGTATAATTGTCACTTTAATTCGTTTTATATATTCTATATTCGTATTCTATACTTTGATATGGGGATGAAATCTAAGTATAAAACTGAATGCCTTTTATTAGTTCAGGGTTTGGTTAATGCAAAAAAATATGAAAAGATCTCACTTGAGTTGTGCCTAGAATTGAATCCGATGCTGAGATGAAAAACCTCATCATTCAGGACGATTATGCACCTTGTCATAGTTCGCGATCTGTAGGTATTCTTTGACTTTGTGCTAATTTTAATAATCTCATCCGAGAATATAATGCGTGACCAATCTGAATCACCTCAATTTGATTTTTCCTTCGATCACTTTAAGCTTTTTTTTACCCGTACTCAAAAAAGAGTTAAGGGGTATATTGTATTTGTGGTAAAAGTGGATGTGTGCAACGCAGAGAAGGAAACGTTTCCGACCCCATAAAATATATATATTCTTGATCAGCTTAGCCGAGTCGATATAGCCATGTCCGTCTGTCCGTCTTGATGAGCGCCTATATCTCAGAGACTATAAGAGCTAGAGCAACCAAATTTTGTTTCCAGACTGATGTGATATCACACTTCTATAAGTGTATTTCAAAATTTCGCCCCGCCCCCTTCCGCCTCCATAAAGGACGAAAATCTGTGACAGGCACAATTTTAGAGATACTATTAAACTAAAAACGCAGTATCGTAAAGAATGGCCATATCTACCAGATTGCCGAATCTGAATCAAATCGGACCTCCTCCAGTCAGATACCCGCTACTCATTCTCTTTCTCTCTCGCACACTTTGCCTTGTTCACTGCGCGAGTGCCCGCTAGCGGAGAATATTTGGAATGGTACATGTATAATATACATGTTAGATGTATAATATACATTGTAGATGTAGATAACAGATGTAGAAAAAAATTTTAAAATTTTTTTAAATTCTACATAAATCATAAGCTCAAAAATTTATATTCTGACTATACCCGTAGTATAAAAATAGAGTCGCGTCCCCAGAAGCGACTCGCACGTTCCTTCTCTTTTTTTTTTCTTTAAACACTTTGAAGTGACTTTTTGGTAGGTGTCCTTGCTAGCTCCTTTGGAGTTTTTGCAGTTGTGATCCAGCTCAACATGATTTTAAAACCGATCCTCAGGCTAGTTTTTTTTTAATAAAAAGCTCTTTCATTACCCCTTTGCCTAGGGTTGTACCACAAAATATTAATTAATTACTAATTTTAAAAATTTGCAATTATTAGGAATTAAATTAACTTACTGGAAAAACAATTATTTTTTGTTATTATTTAAATTAAATTTTTTCTTTCGTCAAAATTACGGAAAAATAGTTCATATGTGTAACAGTTCCGCCAAAAGGTCCACCAGGCCAAAAATCATAAAAGTCAATAAAACCCGATTTCTATATAATTTTTTCCGGATATTTTTTTCTAAATTTATTGAAAGGTAACTAATTTACTTTATTCACATATAATTTCATTAACTTTCATCCTAAAACCTAAGAAAATAAGCAAAAGTTCACGTGTTTAGACATGTAGTAGACATGTTTTCTTTTACTATTATCTCCTAGGAAGAAGATGATTCTTGATAAAAGTTTCTCCTTAAAGTCTTTCTAATATATTAAACTACCTTAAACCATTATCAGAACGTTGGTCGAAACTTGGCTAACAGTATATTTTTAGGCTTTTATAATCGCGGAATTTGGAAACGTAACGCCAGTAACGTTCGACAGATGCCTCCGCGGATTTTTAACAAACAAACAGGAAAAGTTTTTACATTTAATAAGTTTGAAAATTAACTCTCAATACTTCATTTATTAGCACAAAAAATTGTATACAGATAGCCCTATCCAATTCGCAGAGTTTTGCCATTTTGTACCCCAACCTCGAAAACCACCATACTTTGGCTTATATCTTTAAAACGGTACGCTCGATTATTGCCATTTTTCTGGAGAATATAGGTCTAACCAAATTATATTCAACGAGGATAATCTTTTTTCGAAATTTCAGTTTTTTGACTATTTTTTTCAACATTTTGTCGTACGAATGTAACTTAACGCCAGATAGGAACTGCCCATATGAAGTTTTAGGTGCCCGGTTGATTCAGTTGAAGTGCCCGGAAATAGATCATCGCGCAGTGGGGCCTTCGGCCATTTCAGCTTGCTAAATTAATAACAGTTGAAAGGGAAATTTTCCAAAAATTCAGTTTGGAAGATTAAATGTCTACAATGTTCTACAATGTCTAGAAGCTTTACATAAAATATACAAAGTTGAACTTTTGTTTTTTCAATCCAGAAAGTTTAATGGTTATTTTCCCTATACATAATAATTTTTAATTTTATTTTTAATGAAATATATTTTTTTTTAATCTACAAAAATACCCGTACTCAAAAAAGAGTTAGGTTGTATATTGTATTTGTGGTAAAAGTGGATGTGTGCAACGCAGATTGCCGAATCTGAATCAGATCGGATTATAATTATAGCCAGAATGAAGAAATTAATTACACTACTCGACAAAATTGAACTTTTTATTTAGGCTGTGAACAAAAATGACTTTTTCTAATAGATTTTGTGATTTAAAAATTTTTGTAGTACTTTATTTTTTATGGTGTCATTTTTTTGTAAGAATTTTTAAAATCTGGTATTTTTATTCCTGGTTTTTTTCAGAGGTTGTGCTTCTATTTTTCACATAACTTAAGTATCTTATATCTGGTTGCAAAGAACTTTGCAAGATAAAAAGCTGACAAATGCAACTATAAATCGTACCCAAACACTTTGTATCTGCAGCTTAACGCCTGGAAGATATTAAGCTTTCAAGTTCAAATTTCATAATTTTTTGCGGTATTTTTTTTCGAAATTTTGTCGTTAAAAACTCGGGAAAAGTGGAAAAAAAAATTATTATTGGCCAACATTTTTGGTTTTAGATAGACGCATTAATTAGGCGTCGTTTAAGGTATTGTTCATTAAAATCTAAAACGACTCAAAAATAATTTTACCTGAAATTAGTGCTTTTATTTTTCACATAACTTAAGTATCTTATATCTGGTTGCATAGAATGAATGAACAATACCTTAAACGACGCCTAAATAATGCGTCTATCTAAAACTAATAATGCATGCCAAGAATTATTTTTCTCTCGACTTTTCCCGAGTTTTTAAAGACAAAATTTCGGGAAAGAAGCTGCAG